CAGACTGTTTGCCAATGGAAGCAAGTCGAATGATTATCACGAGTGGGTGTGATAGAATAGACTCAGGATTCCATTAACGTTGAACACCAATGCTAACCCGACCTTATCATCCAAACTCCCAAATACTTTTGTGTGCAGATTTACTGTTCTGTGTTCTGTGTTCATCACCAAGGTTGTTAGTTGATACCTGTAGTCCGGTCATGTAAGTGATAGTCACGTGCATACGACCTAGTACCTAAGAGCAACCTCAACTTCACCATCGACCACAAGTTCTTCCGTACTATACCAGACGTCAAAAAGAAAAAGAAAAAAAAGAAAGAAAATCTTGCTGATTTTCTCCATAATTGGAAAGGCAATGTTAGGGTCGGTCCTCTCGTGGCTGAACGACTAAATAAAATCGTCCCCAGAAGCTGCCCAAACTAAAATTGTTCGATATCCTTCAACCTTGACCAGATCCGGCGATCAAAGAGAACGGCTTGACCGGACCTCAGCCATCTAGATCCTCACGGTATGGATCTCCTGGTAATTAATAATGGATTAGGGCCAATTGTGGCTTGCCATGGCAAAGGGTAGCAGCGTTGAAGAGGCCTATTGTGCGGATATGGTCGACCAACACAACATCAGCAAGTGCTGAATCCACATGAAGAGCCAGCTGGCCACAGGTATGCTGGGCCAGAGCCATTATGGCGCTATTGTGGTTTTCTTACTCAATCGTGGGCCCGATCGAAAGGCGATACTCCGTTGGGGGATTTGGAATATGACCTTGTTGTAGATCTGGGCTCATCTGGTTTGGAAGATGGGGTCTTTTACAGGGACCAACTAAGATCTTCTCCAGACACATCCACTAGGAGATTCTGGTAAGTTGCTTTTGCTCCTGCCGTCTTTATGTTAAATTCCACATGCTCTATCGCTCAAGATTGATATGTCACGAAGGTACGACAATGTTGGATCTGTGTCAACATCATGATCACAGATGATATGAGTGGATCATACCTCGGCCTCGCCTTGTTCCTGATTCTCTAACTAGGACCTAAAATTTGTAGTGTTCCTGCATCAGAAGCTGCAGGAACAGGCGGGAGAGCCACAGGACACTAAAGACGCCTCCGAATCCATTCCGAGAGCCGACCGCCATCGGTCATGTCTGGACCCTTTGCGTCTCCACGTGTATCAAGCTTCACCTCTGAAGTCTGTTACACTCGAGTGTTTGTCGTAGAATCGGCCTCCCGCACCTCTTCATCCCTCGCCCTGCTGACTAGTCTTAACAGATTGAGTCCACTATAGGGACTCAGCCCGTCCGCTTCGCGACTGACGCCCGAGTTAACAAGAGAGAAGCTTAGCCGGCTGAGCTGTTTCGGATAGTCTCGTCCTTAGTAGAGCTGGCCGATTGATGCTGTCTTCGAGTTTGGCGTGTGTGAGGCACTTAGTGGCGTCTGTCTACGGCTCCCGCTTTGGGAAGAGTTGTTCTCGTTGTGCCACGAGCTCATCAGTGTTCACTGGCGTCTTTTGCACCATGATGTTATTCAGTAGATTTGTGGCATTGTGGATGGGCACGGGGCTTCCGGTTCCTGAGTCTATGGCTGGCATGACTGAGTTCGTTGAGTTGATAGAGAGGCGAGGTGAGTTGCCTTAGTGGTTATGGAATGATCGCAAAGGATAAATGACCTCAAATCCCCCATACCATAGCCAGTCTTTCCTCATCATCCAACAGCAGCTTCTCAAGCAAACAGCTTACTCTCTTCTTCGGATCCCATTCTCTCTTTTACTTGCCCTGGGGCACCACTTTCTTTAAACACCAAGACTGCTTGCAACGTCACTGAGGCGCCTGATACACGATATCACTTACAATAACCTCGACAACTATTTGCAACTTTCTATCCTCTCATTTGATAACAACAACATCATGTTCTCTCTTCGAACCATTGTCGCCGGTGCGACTATCGCCTTGGCTGGCACTGCCCAGGCCACTCACATTGACTATCCGCCCTGTCTTGACCCTTTTCAGCCATATGTTTCATCTGGATGTTACATGGATGGCGTTGAGGGCCATGCGGGTGGTGCACTCATCTACCGCTCCGGTCAGAACCAGTACAACATGACTGTCGAGAAGTGTGTTGCCGAGTGCAAGGGTAACGGCTTCCGATATGCTGGTCTTAAGTACTATGGTGTCTGCTACTGCGGTTCCACCGTTGGTGGCATTCAGCTCCCTGATAGCCAGTGCAACTATCCCTGCACTGGTGATAAAACTGAAACCTGCGGTAGTGACAATGCCTTCTCCATCTGGCAGGATCCCACTTTCAAGCTCACCAACCTTGGAGGAGTTGTCACTCAGCTCCAGGGAACTGTCCAGTCTATCGCCGGTTACAAGCCCAACGGTTGCTACACTGATAACTCCTCCAAGGGCCGCGCTCTGACTTGGCCCATGGATATTGATGGCTCTCAGATGACACCCACCAGTTGCTTGACTGCCTGCGCTGACCAGGGCTTCCCTTTTGCTGGTCTTGAATATGGTGGTGAATGCTACTGCGGTAACGTCCTGGCTAATGACACTGTCAAAGCAAACGTTGGTGACTGCAACGTTCCTTGCAACGGTGACAAGACCCTGCTTTGCGGTGGACCTAGTCGTTTGAGTGTCTACGTTGCTGAGGATCTGCTTTCTCTTCAGCCATGTGGCTGGAAGCCCAGCAACTCTGCCTCTGCCTCGGCTTCCGTTTCTCTCTGGTCATCTACCTCTACCACTTCTGCTACTACCTCAAGCGTTGCTACTTCTAGCTCTTCAAGCACCAGTTCTGCCGTCAGCTCCTCCACTACCATCTCGGTCTCCAGCTCCAGCTCGGTTGTCGCCAGCTCTTCCACAACCTTGAGCACTCTGACCAGCACTACCGGAAATGGACAGTCTTCTACCACAGGTCAGCCTTCTGGACCTTCTGGACCTTCTAACCCTTCTTCAACTGTCAACGGCCCTTCTTCCACCAACAACAACCCTCCTGGCCCCTCCAACCCTTCTTCCACCAACGTCAATGGTCAGTCTACCACCAACAAGCCTTCCACCACAACCACTACTTCCTGCAGCACCACTACTGGTCCTTCCATGTGTACTTCTACTGTTGTCGTGCCCAACACCTGCGAGTACAAGTGTGGTAACTGGTGTGCTCCGTCTGTCCCTGACTTCCAGGATCAGAACAGTTGCCAGACCGCTTACAACAACTGCGCCAAGAATATTGCTGCTTGCTTCCAGAACGCTGGCTGGCCCGGCGCTCTGAACTGCTTCGACTTCTCCAAGTGGTGTGATGGTGTCCAGGGCTACTGCGCTTCTTCTTGCTCTCGTGGCCGTAACTGCAACAAGCTTGGCTGCATCAAGAATAACGCTCCCACTGGCGGAAACAGTGCCTCGACTACCACCAGCGTCTATCCTTGTGCCGTCACCAGCACTTCCACCACTTCTTCTGCTGCTGCCACCTCTTGTGCTCCTCAGCCCACCAACATTTGCCAGCAGCCCAGCTCCAACATCTGGGGCTACGGACCTGGCAACCCTGTCGGTGGTATTGAGCTGCCTCTTGTTGCCTGTAACGACTTGAAGAACGACTTCTCCCAGAACCCCTTCAAGCTCTACACCAACACCAACTCCAACTCTTGCTCTTCTTATCGCCGCAACCAGCAGTCCAGCGCTTGTGCCGACGCCTGCAAGGCTCAGTACAACGCTTGTGTCGGTACCTATGTTCAGAGCTGCAAGAAGCTCAACACCCGCAGTGATAGCAGCAACTACTTCGACAAGCGATCTCACTCTCACTTCCACAAGCGCGCCCTCGAGAAGTCTGGTATTGAGCCTCGCTTCTTCAATCTCTTCGGCAACGACCAGTGGCAGAGCGCTCAGAACAAGTGCTCCATTCAGTATGCCGACTGTCTTTGGGAGAACGCCAGCGTTAATTTTAGCAACCGCTGCCAGAACTTCGGCACTGGTCTCTAGAGGATGTTAGCTCAGTGGTCTGGAGTTTTGGAGATTGGTGGTCAAAAGCGGTGGCGGTGTTTGGGTTTGAGCAAGGGATGGGAGGCCTGGTTGTACTTTTACTTTTAGAACGGTTTGGTGTTTACTACTGTTTCCACACACTCGCTTGGTTATTGTTTTGTTGCTTAGACTATCATTCGCTAAACAGAAACTGCTTTGTTTTGATACTCCAACCTCTTCTTTTCTCGTTGCCTTGTGAACTTGATCATAACTCTCAGCGGAATTCCTTAACTATATTCAGCATTTCCATTTCGCAAGCTCCAAGAGCCGATAAATTCGAATTAGGCGAGCATTTTTGCAACAACCTGTGGAAGTGGACAAGCGTGCCCCGAATAAAAGACAGTATGCCAGGGGCTAATTTTGAAACTCTTGTCCTTCAATGTACGACATTGTTTTGGATAAAATGCTGTCTAGCATAATCTTTTCACCAGTACTGTGCTGATATCCACCTGAAATTATGAAGCTCAAAGTTCGTCTCTCTAGGGTAAGCTATAGCGATTTATGAAGGCCGCTCATCTTTAGTATCTTGCTAAGCTGACAGAAACTGTATCTTTGAAAACAAATGTGCTGCTCTCATATACCCTCAGAAACATGAAGCTCCCTTTGGTTGGGCGATACCTTCATCCTGTGTCGACATAGCTATGAAGAAGTGTATGAACGTCCAATCTTAACCCGTGGACAAGATACGTGCACTAGATGATGCAGGATCAGAGCATAGTCTACACTAGGAATAACTCAACACTAACATACTGACTCCTAATATGTCTTCATCCTACATTTTAATCATATACAGTGATGTAGCAATAACGAGGACTGCCTTATTACCTATCTCCTGCATGACAGGTATACACAGTGTGAAATCTGGACACTAAATGAGCCTTCAACACTGTACTAAAAACACGCGTTAGATAAAGTAACCAACGAACGTGTCTTGAAGAACCTTCCTTTCTCCTCCTGGATCAATAACATCGGCGACCTGGAAATAATACAGAAGACAATGGAGGAGATTCTGAACAAATTGGCTGATTTGATGTCAGCTTTATCGCCAGCTCAATGGTGCCAGAGTTTCTTCGCACTTTCTGCGGCTCTGGTTTTAGCTCTGCAAGGTCTCCCTCAAGATGTCCGTAGCGCTCTGATGGACTACGGTGCTCGAAGACCTAAAGACGGAGAGCCCAGGAACAAGAAAGAAGACGATGAGAAGCAAAGCTTCGTAGGATTGGGATCGTTCTTGAAAAACCTAACGGAATATGGGCAAGTGCCTCACTCGTGGTTTTTGCACTTCTACATCACCTCAGTATCTCTGTCAGGCTTCTGGGCCTGGCAATATTTAACGAGGGGATTGGTGTTGAGGACTATTGCTACGTGGCAGGACAGGGCTTGCGGACCATCGATGAGTCTGGAGCAAATATACATCGCATGGCTGCTCATGGCGTTGCAGGGTTCAAGGCGGCTATACGAGAGTCTGTTTGTATTCAAGCCAGGCTCGTCACCTATGTGGTTTATTCATTGGGCACTTGGTGTTGCATTCTATGCCGTGATAAGCCTCGCTGTCTGGATCGAGGGCTCCAGTACGTTATGAACCTGTCGCAATTGGTCACCAGAGACACTGACAAGTTATAGGTGCAATTTTATCATCTTGGGATTCCTCTAACCAGCCCCTTAAAACTCCACGGAGGTTGCTGTCGGCTGTTCTATTCTATTTCGTTGCATATTTCAAGCAAAACCAATGCCACAGACATCTGGCCAGCCTCAAGAAGTACACACTTCCAACGGAGGGGTGGTTCAAATACCTCGTCTGCCCCCACTATACTGCCGAGTGCATTCTGTATCTTGCAATTGCCTGGATCGCTGCGCCTCCAGGTGAGGTATTCAACAAGAGCATCCTGAGTGCTGTGGCGTTTGTGGCCGTGAACCTGGGCGCTACGGCAAATGGTACAAAAGCATGGTATGAGAACAAGTTCGGCGCAGACAAGGTAGCCGATAGATGGATCATGATCCCGCCTGTCTACTAGCCTTCCAGTCACATCTGAGTCTTTCATCGTTTGAGGAACATGCCGAGCTTGTTCGCGACCTTTGATACCTGAAGAACATCTCGATACGTCAGGCTTGTGCGAGTTTGACGGGTATTCCGGCCATTGGCGTATGCGTCGGGAGAACAGAGAAGATCCCAGTTGGCAACGGTTTCTGCACTCAAGTTGACATCCTCTTCGATATCAGCAATCCCGTGGAGATAGTCGGTGTACAGCTGGCCAGCCGTGATCAGTAAACTACGGGGTTCCTGGAGGATTCTCCAAACAGGTTCGGGGTCAAGAGCGCCGTCCTCCTTGCTGCGATGCAGGTCCAGGCATAAACTGGTCCCAAGGCTCACGGTTGCCACAACTGGCCAATATGCCGCGCCGTCCTGTATAATATAAGTACGAAAGAGAAAAGAGGGTGTATCACTTGATGTATACTCAACTTATGTGGCATGATACCAATACCAGGTGGATACTCATTGATGAGGACATGATTCGGCATCTTGTGAGGACTGTCTTCGAATATGTGATCTGACAAGGAGTCTTGGGATGGCATTGAGAGTAGACGGGATATGACGGGGTCTTGAAGCCAGGGAGGGAGAGGAGCTTCAAGGAGTTTGTTGTTAACGAGATCTGAAGGCCAGGTCTGAAGACGTCGTTTTGTAAGCTGTTTCCACCTTGGTTTGGGAGCGCTGGATATCTAGAGATAGTTGAGTCGTGACCGACTATCATTTGTCTTATTGAGTACAAACCTTATTCAGAATGTTCCGCTCTTCTTCCTCGGTTATGAAGTTGGGGATATAGTACGCCGTCTGAGGTAGAGTGTTGATTCTGGCGAGTTCCAGCGAAGGAGGTAGTAAGACATGGTTTTTATCCGTGCTTGGCAAGGCAGAATTTGATGAATCCATCATGATATTCTTGTTGTCATAGCACATAAAAGGTCAGGTGTAATTCTTGGACTTTGATCAGCCGTGATTCCACACATCGAGAGTTTGATGCTGTGCTAGGGCCAAGATCAGCGAGGGAGGGAATTGTTAGTGGTTGAAGTTGCTTGAAGTGTCCAGGCAGAGACGGTGGAGACCCTGGTACAGTTAAATATGGGGCAAAGGGACTGATGAAACTGAGCCTAGCTCCAGTAAAGTCTACCTAGGTACCTTGGGTACCTCCTAATTGTTGAGTACTAACCTAGAAGTATAGTACTAAGATAGCATGAATAAGAGACACGAATCCTCATGTCAAGAAATAAAGTCTGAGAGAATCAAGTTATGATGAGCGTCTGAACATTATGCGCTACTGATTCAACGAACTGATTGTTATAAGGTCCTTTGACTGGTGAGGCAATCGTATCAAGGTGTCATCTTCGAGTTGCTTGCCCTTGTCTTTAGTGGATGGTTGATTGCATAAAAAATGGTTCAATACCTAAGTAGGTAACGGAAGGTACCTATAGTAACTTGGGTATGTCCTTGACATGGAAAACAAGAGGTATTTCTTATTACACTACGCACAGACTCAATAGACATGTCACACGGTTGAAAAGAAAGCATATCTGTTTTATTTCATGTTCAAATCAAATAAAAGCCAATCGTTTCTTTTGACTGTACTAGTTCAAATTGCGGTCTGAGTCTCTATGTCTGACCGGACAAGACTAAAAGACAGTACGAAATGAGACCCAACCAATCGTGTTGCATCTTTGAGACTGGGGGGCCCTTGCTCGGGCATTTGCTTTGGTGTTTCCAATTCTTCCACTCTTCTCTTTCACTTCACACTCAGACTCACACTTTCAACTCTCGTCTTCCCGTTTCAATCTCAATTTGAGTAAAAGGCCCGCCCATAGACGTTGTGGTCCATTACCGTTCTCCCAAACCAACATTATTATACTGTAACTATCCCTATAAACAAGCCTTCCCTCTCAGACTCAGCCAGGCTAGGTACCTACAATTATCGATTCTCCGCTTCTAATCGACGGTTACCTAACTTAACTTCTATTGGACTTAAACTCAACCGGGCTTAATCTAACCAACCTGAGCTGAGCCTCCACTTCCAATCCCAATTCTATCTCCAATCCGAAACCAACCACTCACTCACTCACTCTCTTTCACTCTTCACCTTTGCTTACCTCCACTACCTTCCATATTCCATCGCTAAACGCCTCCGACCGCCCGATTCCTAGACACTTCAAATTGCTCCTCACGAATCAATCTTTCGCCTTTTCGCATAGCCTTGTTTTTTCGCCCCCATATCGCCGCTGCTGATTGACTGCGCTCGTGTTCGCCTCTTTGATTGTCGTCTTTCGTCGCGCCCGACCGTTGCTTTTCCTCTTGGCTAAGTTCACACGCATCAACGCCAGCGCGAGTTCATCGCCCCCTCACCTTTTGTCTTTACCATCATCACCAGAATGGTGGTAGTCGCTAGTCGCCCTCGCAGGTAAATGTCATGGATGCGCAGAATGCTGCCCAGTCCGACCAGACGAGGCCTGCTGGCGACTCACCTCAGCGGCCTGACTCAAAACCCGATATATCAAAGTCGACTCCGCCGCCAGTAAGCCCCAAGCCTTCTGAGCCCGTTGACAAGGAGAAAGAAAAGGAAAAGGATAAAGACGCACGACGAAACGCGAATTCTTCATCTGCTGTCGACCAAGATGCGTCAGTAGACCGCGATTCCGACGCCGAAACCATCGTATTGCCTGGCAAGGATGGCCATTCCCCGTCAAAGGCTCGAAAGGTAAGACAAGAGGACAGAAGCGACGGTGATGCCGATGGTGATAACGATGGGGACGCACCCAAGTCTTCAATCAAGGCTGCTGGTTATCGTCCAGAACTTGTAAAGAATTCATCGTCAATCCACGCTCGCGGTGACCCTGTCAAAAAGAAGCGCATTTCGTCGGCCCACATCGAACGCGAGAAACTGTCACGAGGTAAAGATGCGGCTGCTTCCAGTGGTTTGAGCTCTGCACCTGCGTCTCCACCTCATCACCGGCAGCAGCAGCGTCGCCGATTTGCCGATGACACGCATTCATCTTCCGACTCTGAACATTCTCATCCCCGACCCGCCAAGTCTATTCGCGAGAAATTGAAATCAGGCGAAAACACAGCATCGCATAAACGCAAAAGTCTCAAAGTCGAGTCCGACGATGAGGGCGAGGCCCGCAAGGCTAGGCGACAACGAACAACCAGCGCCAGTATCGATTCAGGTCGCCCGCCAAAGGAGCACAAGCCTCTCTCAGCAAAGTCACACCATGATTCACAGAACCGATCCATCTCACCACAGGCTCGATCTCACCGAAGGAGTGCATCCTCCCAGCTACCTGCATACTCCTCCAATGGTCTCGGCCACAAGAAGAGGCGACTGCCTCCTCCGCTGCACGCCACTGACTATCACTCTGACGACTCATCCGCAAGTGGTAGTCCCCACCCTCGCAGCTCTAAACTGCGTAACTTGGCAACGCCTGCCGCCGACACAAATGCCTCCCCTGCAAGGATGGCTCCTCATAAGAAGCACCTTGATGCCCACGGCCAGACATTACTCGCTCGCGCCTGCGCTCGAGGAGAGTACGAGGGGGCAAAGACACGCCTTACCGAGAGACCTGAGGATCTGAACGTTGCCGACTACGCGGGAAACACACCTCTTCAGATTGCAGCAATTAATGGATGCGAAGACATCGTCAAACTGCTGATCGACGCTGGATGCAATTTGGATTGTGTCAATTACGACAAGGACACACCACTTCTCGATGCGGTCGACAACGGCCATCTGGGCGTTGTCAAGTTATTATTAGACGCAGGCGTTAATCCTCGAAAGGCCAACGTGAACGGAGAAGAACCAATCGACCGGGTGAGCGACGAAACAGACAACGCCGAGGAGATTCGAGCCGCACTCATGGCTGCAAGGAAGCGAGCAGGAGACCGGAGGCGCACCTCAGAAGAACATCACTCCCACCAAGATCAAGATACCAGGGACTCGCATGCGCCAGATAGCCCACGCCATTCGCCCGCTACGAATTCTGGAACAGGTCGAAGAACGGGAACTGTTCGCGCAACAAAAACGAGAAACGATCTGTTGTATATGCCCCTCGACGACAAGACACTTCGACAGGCTGCGGGGCGAGGAGATGAGGAAACTGTCGCACGCATCCTGCAGGTAAAGGAGGGGTATAACGATCCAGCCGCCATGGTTGCCGCGGCTCGAGGTGGCCATGACCTGGTGATTCAGTTGCTCCTAGGTCTTGGAGGCGCTAATCCTGATCCTCGGCCTATTTTCAATGCCCAACCCGAATTCGCGACGCCAATACTAGCAGCAATTGGGCAAGAGAATATTAAAGTAATCGAATTACTTTTAGAACAGGCTGGATTCGATCCCACAAGAAGATACAGAGGAGAAACATATTACGAGATTGCCCGACACCGGGCAGGTCCAAACTGGAAGGATGAAGAGCATATGCTGAAGAACGCCTACGATGAGTTTAAGAGGAGCGGAAAGAAGACAAACTCCCGGCAGGAGCAGCAAGAAGAAGCTTTGCGTGCACGACGAGCAAAGGAAGAGGCTCGGCAGCATAAAAGGAGTCTTTCTAGTCCCGAGCCGAAAAAGAAGTCAACCACCTCCAAGCTTACGAGCCCTAAAGAAAAACGGAGATCCAACTCAATCACGAACCAGGGAGACGAGGGCTCAAAGCGTGGCCCAGGACGACCCCGGAAAGACGACCCTGTCCCGTCTATTAATATCTCAGACCGCGAACAATCCCCAACTATCTCTCAAAAGCAGCTCAAAGCCAAACATGCCGATTCAGACGCTGCCGGCGTATCGTCAGAAGGAGAAACACATAAACCGAGGAGGAAGCTTGTGTCCAAGGGCGAGCTTCGAGGGGAACGAGAGCGGCAACGACGCGCTAGTATGGCTTCGAATGCTTCGTCTTTCAAAGATCACCCAAGTAGCCCCCATGAGTCAAGGCATGAGGAGTCAGGTGACAAACACGATAAACACGAAAAGAACAGAGTCGAGAAACTCTCCGAAAAATACCATGATCGCACCAAGGCTCTCAAAAGAGACGAATCCCGGGATCGTTTGTCGGTGTCTGGCGACGGGTCGACTAAGAGGCATCGTGCTAGCATCACACCTGACCGACCCAGTAATGGCGACAAGGACGATAGCGAGGTCCCGCCCAAACGACGACGACTCGACAGCGAGACAAAGGAGAAACGACCTAAACAAGCTTTATCATCTGACGAGAGACCTCGAAAATCCAGCAATCTGCAAGACTCTTCCAAATCGTCCTCTAAATCTAATCACAAAAAGCATGACGAGGAGAAACGCGATAGGCGTGCCGACTCTCATCGTGGAGACACCGACCGTGCCAGTAGTGTCGAAAAACAGATTCATGTCAAGTCAGAGGACACTGACGTGGAGATGAAAGACGCTGATTCTATTAAAGCTGTGTCCGAGTCGGAATTGCAAGCGGCTCGAGCCAAGGAAGCCGAACAAGAGAAGCAAAAGCAGACCGAAGAGGAGGCCAAGAAGAGTGACGAATTTCGGAAGAAGCATGAAGCACGCAAGAAAGAAGAAGAGCGTAAGCGAGCTGAGGCAGAGGCCACGAGGAAGCGTGAAGAGGAAGAGGAAAAGAAGCGAAAGGAGGAGGCTGCCGAAAAGGAGAGACTGCAAAAGGAACAAGAAGAGCGTGAAGCCGAGCGTAAACGCAAGGAAGAAGAAGAACGCCAGCGACGAGAGGAGGAGGAGAAGCAACGGCGCGAAGCCGAGGAGAAGACGCGTCGAGAAGAGGCAGAGAGGCAACGCGTCGAAGAAGAGCGGAAGAAGAAAGAAGAGGAGGAGCGAAAACAGCGAGAGGAAGAGGAGAGGCTGCACCGTGAGCAACTCGAGCGAGAAGCAGCCGAAGAAGCGCGCCGTCAACGTGAGGAAGAGGAGCGCAAAGAACGTGAGCGGCGAGAACGTGCGCATCGTGAGGATATGGAACGCAAACGAGCGGCACGCGAAGCTGAACAGCGACGATTCCGTGAGGAGCAAGAACGCATCCGTCTTGATAAACTGCCTCCCCTCCTACGATGGCTCGATACATGTCCAAACCCCAAGCTTCCCGTCCTTGCCGAGAAATTCAAGCGGATCCAAGGCTGCCGATACGATACGATTCGACGTGAAGCCAACGGCACAGCCGAGGGCCGTGAGCAGTGGGTGCTCAACACACATGCAGCTCTCCTTCTTGGCGAGAAGGACCTTGACCTCTCCCGGTGTAAGTTTATTAACCATTTTTGATGAGATAACCACTGATTGTTTATATAGATACTGCTTGGGAACGCGCTCCCGTAACTGAACTGGCAAAGTTGTCTCTCTGGCGCGTCGAATGGCGTCTCTACTCTCTTCTCGACGACAAGCTGTGGGATCTCGGTCGACAACTCCCCGAATATTACGGTGACGAGGACCCCTCAGAGTTAGGTTTTCAGACAAAGCAACGACTAAAGGCAGAGGCTTGGGAGAAATTCCTTAATATGGACATGTTTTTCGTTAAGGTGAATATCAACGACATGCAAAAATATTTCAAAGCTAACATGATAATAGGTGTCGGATCTAATGTATACTGTCCCCAACATACCACATCTTCGTCATATTCATCTCGAGGTTGAATATCGGGAACTTCTAGAGACAGAAGCACAAAGCAGGGGATGGGGAATATGCCAGAAATGGAAGCAGGATCCAGACTCTGCTCGCTACAACAGACTTGCTCCGCGATGCAAGTACTACCTCAATGGAGTTCTCGTTGGCGAGGATAAACCCCAACTCGCACAAACAAGCAGTACACCTTTCCCCGACAAGAAAGTTCCTCGACGCGGGCTGGTGCAAGTGTTCCCAGACGACCCAGATTATACTAGAATATGCCTCGAACAAGGGCTAGAGCATCTCATCAACGGTCACCTCAGCCCGCCACTTGTTAATGGCGTTCATTCATCACCAATTAGCCAAAAATCAATGGTATCGGGAGGACCCCCTGTGAATGGGATGATCAAAGCTTTGACGCCTGGTTCGACTTCGGAAAGCTTAACGATATCAACTGCTGGGCACGAGACCCTTGTAAACGGCATCAATGGAAACACGAACGGAAACCCAGCCCACTGACAGTTAGTGTCTCCAACAAGCAGCTGAACATACTTTGTTACATTATTGCGCCGAGTTTTCTTTGTTAGCATAATGATCATGGGTGGCGCAGATACAGTGTAGGGCTATGGCATGAATTGTCACTTTTCTCGACAAATGGGGATGGTGGTTGCTAGATGGTAAAGTTTTCCTCATGAGCATTGGATCGGAAATATTATACAGGCTTGTTCTACGAAGAGTTGGCCATCACGTTGCGGTCGGTTGGATGATTGTCTTTGAAAGATTAGCAAATGATGTTGAGGGTTGTGCAAGGTGTATCGTGTTGTTGCTGTTATGAATGAAGCATGACTGATATCGTTATAGAGAAGCAAGGGGAACTGGGGTAAAGTCTTTGCCTTGTCCTGTCGGTAGACAGACTCTGGTCACTGCATCTGAGAGGCTGTATGTAACAAGTAACAAAATTTTTTAAAAACACCAAAAACCATCTTATTATGACAACGAGGGAGTGATTCGTCCCATTGATTCATTGATTCATTCCCTCTTAGTACATACGGTACTGGGCATTCAATGTGAATGGTCCACCTGGAGGCAAATTAATCAAATATTTGATTGGCTGTAAGAGAGTCAAACTGGCTGACGTAGGTGTGGACCAGGTTTTTCTGTCGTGCCCCGCCATTTTCAACTTTCTTTACAATTTATCACCAAAAGTGCCTTTACACCACGAATTGGGCCACGAACCCGAGATCTGAGGCCAGACAACAACCGAATATCGACTCGAGACAGCTGCTGTAACCGCAACCGCAATCATGGCGACTACAGTGGACAAGGTATGTAGCTTTCCTACCAAAAGACGTTGGCTGGCACGATTTTGCTAACCCCGGTTTCCCCCACCAGATTAAAGATATTGAGGCCGAAGTACGTGATATTCCAATCGAATCCTCCCTAACCGACGCTATCGGAGAAGACGAGAGTCGATAACCATGATGGGGGATTCTTTATCGTATGGATAACCGGGATCAGCTCTAACCTGTGTAACCAGATGGCCAAAACCCAGAAGAACAAGGCGACTTCATTCCATTTGGGTCAGCTTAAGGCCAAGTTGGCCAAGCTCAAGCGCGAACTGTTGACTCCCAGCGGCGGAGGTGGTGGCGGTGGTGCCGGTTTCGATGTGGCCAGAACAGGCGTAGCCAGTATTGGCTTCATCGGCTTCCCTTCGGTGGGCAAGAGTACGCTCATGAGCAGATTGACAGGCCAACACTCGGAGGCTGCCGCCTACGAATTCACCACCCTGACCTCTGTGCCTGGTCAAGTTGTCTATAACGGTTAGTCGTCTGTGATATCCCTCTCCCCTCGCTCCTCCATCTCCACCTCCACTTTGATCAACGGGTGCGGTGCGGCTATTTTGTTGTTCTCGGCTTGATGCCCAATCCCCAATCCCACCAACACCACCACCACCATCAGAAGGCGGCTCCCTCGTGCGTCAAACGTTGTGGCTGACATGCGTTTCTCCAGGTGCCCCCTTGCAGATTATCGACCTTCCCGGTATCATTGAGGGTGCCAAGGATGGTCGCGGTCGAGGTCGACAAGTCATCGCAGTCGCTAAGACATGCCATTTGATCTTCATTGTGCTGGATGTCAATAAGCCTCTGACGGATAAGCGGGTGATTGAGGCGGAACTTGAGGGCTTCGGAATCCGCATCAATAAGGAGCCCCCCAACATCACATTCAGGAAGAAGGACAAGGGTGGCCTCAATGTCACCAGCACCGTACCCCTGACACATATCGACCACGGCGAGATCAAGGCTGTCATGAGCGAATATCGCATCAATTCTGCGGACATCACAATCCGGTGTGACGCTACCGTTGATGACCTGATCGACGTTCTCGAGGCAAAGAGCAGAAGGTAAGGCTGAAGAAGTGTGGCAAACACATGTACTTCCACAAAGTCGAGATGAGTTTGGTTTGCTAACGATCTTACTCGCCAGTTATATCCCCGTTGTCTACTGTTTGAACAAGATTGATTCGATCAGCATTGAGGAGCTTGACCTTCTCTATCGAATTCCTAACGCTGTCCCTATCAGCTCTGAGCACGGATGGAACATTGATGAGCTGATGGAGGCCATGTGGGACAAGCTCAACCTTGTCCGCGTGTACACGAAGCCCAAGGGCAAGCAGCCTGATTACTCTCAGCCTGTCGTGCTCCGATCTACGCGCTGCACTGTTGAAGATTTTGTAAGTCAGAACAGTTTCATGTGGCGGGCGCCCTTTTGGCCGTCCCCTGCGGAGCCTCATCTCCAAAATCCAAATTAGGAATCCTGGATTGCTAATCGAGCTGGCAAATAGTGTAACGCCATTCACCGAAGCATTACGGAGGTGTTCAAGACGGCCATCGTTTATGGCAAGTCTGTCAAGCACCAGCCTCAACGCGTTGGCTTGGCTCACGAACTGTGTGACGAGGATGTTGGTAGGTTACCCCCGGAGTCTCCGACAGCGACCCTCAATCCCAGCAGCAGCCTAAGGACATATTGAGAAGGGAGGGACAAGCAGTTAGGCCGCAGTGAGCTTGATCTACCCGATGCAGTCGGGATCTTGCTTCGTTGATGAGCCAGGGCGCCCATGACCCCAGTCTCAGTCTGATCCGTTGCATCAAGGCTGCTAGGGTTGCGTCGTACTAAGCTCATAGCAACGCTAACCATTGTAACAGTAACCATTGTCAAGCGATGAAGAGAAACCTCAGAGAGATTGAAGGGGACGATCCCGCGGCAACGGCAGAGGCTTGGTGAGCGAGAGACATTTCCAGATAGATTGGACCGCCGCTTCGCATCAGATTGTTACTGCAGCCATGCCACCCACCAGTTTGCGACTCTGGTTAGCTCCGAGTGGCTGATGGAGAAAGAGAGGAGGAAACTTCACAGACTAGGGGAGCACTGAATGGGATGGGATGGATGGGATGCCGATTACTACTACAACAACGATAACAGCAGCAGCAAACATGTTCAATATGGACAGGGCTGACAATGGATACACGGCTACGAGCACGTCTGGTTGACAAGAAGTATCGACTTGGCTCGACCAGGCACGATAATGATCGGCACAATAGTTTCCGGGGGAAGTCAGAAGTGGCGTGCACACTCACAGGGCAGGCTGATGGGTCCAGCGCAGGGGAGAGAAATTTAGGTCAACTGCAGACGAGGATGAACAAGGGAAGAGCGAGATTTAAGATGAAGATGGTGAGCAAGACGGGACGGAGTAACTACGGACGTGGATTTTATACGAAAGCCTATGTCCGGGTTAGTCTTCCGGGATAAAAAAAAAAAAAAAAAGCAACGTTGGGTATTGCGCAAGCAGAAGTAAACCCGGCAGTTACTATATGGTGGTTCAGTAAGGAGTTACAATCAAATTGTTTAAAATAATGAATGATTCTCGATGATAAAGTACAGTCAGTCATCAATCGATGGATGGTTACAACATCTTGGCGTGCTGTCATTCATCCAGGCGGCTGAAATGCATAAAGGCTTGACTGAGCGGAGATATTTCCAAGAACAAACCCGAGCAAGGTTTATGATACCGATTCTCGTAACATGAGAGAGCTGACAGATAATAAGTCACCATTACTCTTGGGGGGCTGCCCGCTTGCGGATTGAATGATTGAGACTCAACCGAATTGAAAGCTATAGTTACAGTAGCAACTGGTCAATTGACGGGTATAATTGCGGTGACGGTGACATTCAAATGGACAAAACGCCACCATCTGATGTCAACGAGCAGAAGCAGAGCGGGAATGGGATGCAGTTGGGAGTGGTTCGACCTGCATAACCGAGGGCCTCTTGATCTGCGGCCGGATTGCCCAGCAGAAGCGTGGGATATGCAGCTGCAGCTACAGATGCAGACGCAGGGGTTTGAGGCCTACGAATCAGGTTGTGGGTAGATTCTTTCACGGCGCTTAAAGGCGAGACGAGAGAAAGAGAGAGAAAGAGTAAAGCATTTTGAGTTTTAGGGCATTTCCTGTTATGATCCCCTAGTAAGAGATTGGCCGTCTTTATTGAGACAAGTGAAACAGACCATTCGTTGCCAAGGCGATTAGCTGTACCTGAACCAGCCAAGGTAAGGTACCTTTAGAATGATGTTGACTCGAGAGAGAGGTACGGAGTAGCATCAGAGGAATAGGTACTAAGGTATGTACATACCTACATTAGAGCACCAAACACGCGCTCCGTTCCGTCCACACCCCAGCTAGCTTACTTCTTACTGAGTAAGGGAACTTAGATTACAGGTAGTACACCCGACCCTTAGCCTTTCTGATGGCGGCGGCGGTAAGAGACGATTCGTGAAAGGCGGAGAGCTCAAGCCTCTTTGGCGAGAAAAACGTCCCGAAGCCCGCACCAGGCTTAAGCAAGTCTAGCGGGAAGCAAAGGGCCAGGGGGAGTTGAGCATTAAACCAACAGTCTCTTGCTAGGCTATCTCCACAATACTGCACACACAAGGTGGTGGGTGAGGTAGTGAACAAGATACATACAACAACACCAGCAGCAGGTAGAGTGGCTGCAGAACAGGGAAGTCATCTTTTAACTTTTTAAAAAGATGATGAGATTCAAGGATTATGGGTAATAGTTACCCCGTCAGTGTCTGTGTCGTACAATATTCATTAAATAAAAAACTTTGGTCTACCTAAGCTGAATACAGTACTAACCTACTGCGGATCTATAAGTCGTTTAGTTAGTTGTACGCGGCGGCACGGCGCTACGGAAGGCTCAACAAATCCCAGATAAGGCTGAACCCGCTATAAAAGCACAACATTAAGTCTAATACTCACCTTCGGCCTTACTATAGGTGAAAGGATTATAAGCATCATCAGTGCAGTGCAGAACATCTGCAGTACTAATGAGATCTTAATCGAAGCACAAGGGGGTAGATGGCGCCTAAGAGAGTCCATCCTCAACCTACAACATCAACAAGGAACCCCCCTGAGAGAGCATCAATTGATTGATTGACTGACTGAGCGACCCCTGGCAGCGCCTGACTAGCAACCTTTGACCAAACACTATGCGAGGCACACAATTGATATCGATATCAAAGCAGAGGATTGCAGAGCGATTGGTTAGTTTCGGCCACTTATACGCAAGTTTCTACGGGCGTTTAGTACATGACAATGGATGACATGCTAAGTTAGCGCACCGGCATGATGCTGCTGTCATGAGATGAGATGAGATGAGACTGAGTGAGTATGAGATACATCGTACTTAACCTAGTAGATCTCGCCCGAGCGGCCGCGATCTTTCTCGTCATCATCTTCCCACTTGGAAGGCCTCGTTTTTTTTTTTGTGTCTGTTTTGTCTGCTTATGGTCAAGCTTGGCTGCTTCATACAGGGGCACCCGGAGCCCAGAATTCCCTGGTGAGTCCAGATCGATGTGGGCAGATATGAGGTAAGGTATAGTAGGTAGGTAGGTCGTGCCTGCCTTGATTATTCAGGTACCTTTGCAATTGCCGTCGTTGTGAGCTCCTTCCATTCCTCATCAGACAGACTTCAAGCTCAATATTGGCCTGGGCTGAATTTACATCAATTGGGTTTGGAGCCTGAGGACTTCCATCCTCCTTTCTACGTAGCTGCATCATCGACTCACTGTTGTCTTCCATGACTCTGTCAAAGTCAACCCTAGAAGAGATACAACCTCAAAGCAAGCATACACTAGACACCATCAGATTACATTCAACCTACGTACTAAAGCCCGGCGCCAGGGATCTTGATCAAACTGGCCAACTGGAACAACACCCGGAAGACGGATTGGACCGTCTATGGCGCGCCACAGGTTTTCCCCCCCTCCTTCTCTGCCTCTGCCTCTGCCTCTTCCTCTGCCCGCTCATGATCCATGCATTCATCTGTCGCATCGCAGCTTTGATCAGGATTAATAGGAACAAACAATCGTTGATAGAATAGGTATGGATACTTTGCTGCCCAATGGACAAGATATCTGGGGCAAGCTCATGATGGTGGCTGCATCTGCATGTCCATTGATTGAACCCTCCGGAGATTGCGCTAAGCCGTCCCCATCAGGATGCGGCCAAGATGTTGATACCTCATCCCGACTCTGTTGCTTGGATACGAAAGTTGAAGAAATGAAAAAATGCTACTCGAGCAGTCACCATCCATCTCACAACTTACCATCAGTCGCTCAGAAAAGCAGGACCATTACAAAAAACCGCGACATGGACAAGGGACATACTCCAGTGTCATGGATGCCAGACATGGATGCTGATGGGATGGACTAGGGGCGGAATGGTAACTGGCCATGCCATGGGCGGCAGGCGGCGGCTGTCAAACTGGCTCCAGAAAGGGCCGTCCCACTAGCCTGCCTCTGTCCTTGACCTGTCCTGTCGATATGCCTAGGGCCTGGCAAGCCCCAGTTCGTCCTTGCTCAGAGTAGCGGTCGATCTTCGTCTTCCATCCACAGTGAAGCCATGGCAAAGCAACGCAAGGCATCAAAATGCTACTGGACGCCGTACCATGGCACACTGTCAATCCATTGATGTCCTTCGAGATACAGGATAGGATGGCATGGCTAGAAATTTTTGACCCACCGACATTCCAGTTGCGGCATCCCGAGCACCATGTCATCATGGTGCCGAGAAGGTGTGAGAGAGGAAGGGGGTTTGATATTGGTAGTCTTCGTTCGATATGGTTGCTCGTCCGCATAAAGCAAACAGGACACACGAAACTATCAGCGATATGAACTAAACTACAATCGATAAGATCAAACAAAAAGGATCATCGTGAACGGGCTTCACAATGAACATTGTACCTGGTCAAGATGAAATCAACATGCATCTCATCATCTTCCTCGACTCCGTCACCTAATAACTCAAGAAGGGAAAGAGAGAGAAAAAAATACCGTCAGGTGGACCACGTGCGCCAGTCTGTTACAGTGAGATAGCTACCACAATTCTCGCTTCTTCCTCCTGGTTTGGACTGGGCTTGCAAGTTTACATTGTGCCATATCCCCACGGCCACGATATTTGTCTGCACTAGACCTTGGCCCGTAAGCCATGCCGCCCAATGGCTTCGGCCTGGGGGCTTGGAGGAGCGAACAGATGCAAAAGACAAGGATGCTTGAATGAAGCTTCGGGGCCCATGTCTCTCTTCGTTAACGATGAGGACCCTTAACATCCTGAGGCACTTGCTTTATTACACGAGTTATGGCTGTGCCATCCTGGGACCACGAGGCAAGCAAGCAAGACGAGGCGAGGCGAGGAGACGCGAGAGGCAAGGGAGAAGCCATGGCTAGGGCATGAGATGAGGAACAAGGCTGAGCGAATCAAACAACCAAAGCCTTGTTCATCAGTCCCTCCCTTCTCACTAACCCCATCTCCGCCCCGTCCTCCCTTTGAGACAGTCTGAGCTCCCGGAACTCGCCTTCCGGTCGGGCTTTGACCTTGAAGTGCTCCGTGTATCAGAGTTTCATGCTCGGGAAGGAAAGAAGAGTGTGAATCAGAGAGAAAGAGAGATGAGGCCGCGGGCTGATCCGCCCGAGGC